CACCAACTTATACTGCTGCGCGAAGTAGTCCACCACTTGATTATTTTCATGTTATTTCGCAGACAGTCATATTGTTCGAAAAATGTTCCCCAAAAAAATCATGCTATTGTGAAAACATGTTAAGCGGGCACATGTTAAGCAAGTAATTACTGTATAGCCATTTTATTCTACCTGGACAGAACAAAACCCTACTTTCTTGCTTGCTTAGGGAAGGTTGAAGGACAAACCATTTTCACATGGAGTATATTTACTTGGCTTATCCAGCACATTAGATCATGTTTCCAACTAGGCTGAACGGTATCACATGGTTTTGGGAACTCATGTCACCTGACAAGCTGTATGCCCATTCCATCTCTTAAAAAAACCTTCTGTGAAGCTGACAGGCCAGGTCCCAATGCATGCCAGAGTCTGAGGACAATTCATTTGTATGTGATTATTAAAGAAGTTTTAAGCGTTAGTGTGTGTTCAAAGTAATTCACTCAAATGTTAATAAAAAATCAAAAGAGTTGATAATTATATTTTTGTATGCCTGTAGCCTATAGCTTTTGCTATTACATTTCTACATTTAATTTAAAACCCCTAGATCAGGGGTGTCCAAACTTTTTTCAAAGAGGGCCAGATTTGATGAAGTGAACATGCGTAAGGGCCGACCATTTTGCCTGACATTCTTTGAACCATTAAAATTAAATGCAAATTAACTATTTTATGCAAAGTTTATTGCAAACGGCATACTTTTCATTTCGTCACATGGATGACAAATCTAAAGAGGTGTTAAATCACTCTGCCTTTCATATCTGAAGGCCAGATGAAAAAAAAAATCCAGGAAGCTGAAATATGTCAGGAACATTGTAAAGTACATTACATATTATTGGTAATAAAGGTTGTCTGTCAACTTTTAAGTTCAAAAAATATGAACAGGAACATAACACCAAGTATACATGTTGTGTCCAAATATATTTATAACTGATTTAGACCAACTGACATTAACTGAGATTTTACAATGTATTCATCTCAATACATATGGATTCGTTGGGGGCCATAAAAGATAGATATTGCCAAATTACCTGTGGGGCCATATTAAACCGGAACACGGGCCGCAATTGGCCCGCGGGCCGGACTTTGGACATGCCTGCCCTAGATAAAAAGTGTGTGAATGAAGAGTATATTCAGGTGTTAGAACCAAAGTGAAATATAGGCACTGAACAATGGTGAAGATGAAGAACACCAGATTGATGTTTGCAGTTCTTGTTTCCATCATCTGCTTCATATCAAGTGGCAGGTGAAGACGAAAAATGAAACTGAACCCAGTAACTGCTTCCACTAGTACTGATTGGCTTTCAGCAGCTTTCTTGTATGGCTGTTTTATTAATTACTTCAACATAGCTGAATTTCAGTACATGTGTATCAGAGTAGCACTTCATGATCAGCAATGCTGAATGCTCTGCCAAATCACCTAATGCACTTATGTCAGAGATTGATTGAGGTGGTCCTGATTTGCAGTGAGGCTATATCCTTTTGGGATTTGCCATGATAGTGACATGAATTGTGTTGGTTACTGTTTCCTGTGTAGTACTTGGGCCTTCCTTCTGCACTCAATAACTGGGAATCTAGTCCATTACATATGCCACCATCTGACTTATATTTCTTCAATTCACCTTCCCATTTCTTTCCTTTCCTCTCCCTAGGCCATGTCTATACTAGGAGAACAAGTTGTGTTTTAAAATGGTAGCTAACAAGCTTTTACGCTGCACTTTTACCACTAATGTGATTATGACCAGCCAAAATATTTTAAAGGTTTAAACCCTAGTGTTCAAGAACTTGTCCATTAAATATGGCAAGTTAACTATTGTTTGCAAACATTATCTATTTTTTCACGTCTAAGAAGGGCAAAACTGTTTTAAGAAATCAAACCGAACCGAGTAGGGGTGAATGTGACCTCTTTTCGATCTTGTCTTTTTGAACTGTTTTCATTTTATAAAATTGTACCATCTTTGGAATTAATCTGTGATATTGTCCCTTAATATCTTCTAAAATATGGAATATTCTGTGCATTACTGAGAAGCATTACATTTTTAATATAGTAATAGTTCCCTTGTGTGTGATACTTTCAACTAAAGGTAGACTGGAAGGATATAGGATAAGATGGCTGGTTAAAGCAGGATACTTGCTTCTAAAAGAACAACAGTTAATTTGCATTTATTGTTTAAATGATTCATGTACGAATCTAAATGATTGAAAATCCTTATGTAGTTTAACAGAGTTTCACACTAGATCTTAAAATTGTTCTTTGCATAATGTATTCCATTTCTGTAGCACATATGTGGATATAAATTATTAAAGTTTCATATTACCAGTGCTATTTAAATGAGCTTGGCTACTTGTAAAATACAGACAGTCCCCGGGTTACCCGGATCTGACTTATGTTGGATCCGTACTTATAAACGGGGCTTTTCTCGCCCCGGAGGACGCGGGCGGTGGGACCGCCCAGACGCGCCGCGGTCCCACCGCCCCCGTCCTCTG